GTTTGTTTTTCAATTTGATAGATAGAGTTATGGACAGTGAGAGAGACAGAAAGGTCTTCCTATGGCCAGCGCTGCACCTGTCCAAAGCCAGGAGCAAGGTGCCTTCTCCTGGTCTCCCATGCAGATGCAGGGGCCCAAGCACTTGGGCCATCCTCCACTGCCCACCCAGGCCACAGCAGAGAGCTGGACTGGAAGAGGAGCAACCAGGACTAGAACTGGTGCCCATTTGGGATGCCGGGCCACAGGCAGAGGATTAACCATGAGAGCCATGGCGCCAGCCCCAAGTGGTTTTTGACAGTGTTTTTTCTCGGATTGTTGTAACAAAGCACCACAGATTGGGTGACTTAAAACAATAGAAATTGCAGTCTCACGTTCCTGGGGCTTATCCATCAAGGTATCAACAGGGCAGAGTTCCTCCCTGCCTTTCCTGGTTTGTGGTCAGAAAACAGGTTCACATTCTGAGGCACTGGGTATTATGAATTCGACGTATCTTTTGGGGGGACTCGATTCAACCCATAATATTGTTTAAGGAGGAACAAATAGTCTCTTCAACAAAAGGCACAGGACATCTGGATATCCACACACAGGAGAACCGAATGGGACCCTACCTCACTCCATATACAAAATCAACTCAAATGGTATCAAAGGGGACAGGTGTTGCGGCACAGTGGGTCAAACCAGCACTTGGGATACCTTGATCTCACATCAGAGTGCCAAGTGGACTCCCAGCTACTCCACTTCTGAGCCGGCTTCCTTTTAATGTACCTGGGAGGCAGCAAATTATGCTCCAAGGAGCTGGGTTCCTGCCACCCAGAAGGAAGACCTGGATGGAGTTCCCAGCTCCTAGCTTTGGTCTGGCCCAGCCTTGGCTGTGGCGGGGATTTAGGGAGTGAATCAGCAGATGGAAGATTTCTCTGTCTTACACTTCCTTTCAAATAAATTTTTTAAAGATTTATTTATTTATTTATTTGGAAGGCAGAGATACATAGAGAGGAGAGAAAAAGAGGTCTTCCATCTGCTGGTTCACTCCCCAAATGGCCACAACAGCTAGAGCTGGGCCAGTCAAAAGCCGGGAGTTTCTTCTGGGTCTCCCATGTGGGTGCAGAGGCCCAAACAGTTGGGCCACCTTCCTGCTGCTTTCCCAGGCACATTAGCAGGGAGCTGGATCAGTTGGCTGTATGTATGTGAATTAATTTCTAGGTTCTCGGGGCTAGCGTTGTGGCGCGGTAGGTTAATCCTCCACCTGTGGCACATGGGCACCAGTTCTAGTCCTGGCTGCTCCTCTTCCTATCCAGCCCTCTGCTTTGGCCTGGGAAAGCGGTAGAAGATAGCCCAAGTGCTTGGACCACTGCGCCTGTGTGGGAGACCTGGAAGAAGCTCCTGGCTCCTGGCTCCTGGCTCCTGGCTCCTGGCTCCTGGCTCCTGGCTCCTGGCTTCAGATCGGCTCAGCTCTGGCTGTTGTGGCCATTTGGGAAGTGAACCAGCAGATGGAAGACATTTCTCTCTGTCTCTGTCTCTCTACATCACAAAAAAATAATTTAGATCTTTAAAGAAAAATTTGGGGGCTGGTGCTGTGGCGTTATTGGTAAAGCCGCCGCCTGCAGTGCCAGCATTCCATATGGTCGCTGGTTCAAGTCTCAGATGCTCCACTTCCGATCCAGCTCTCTGCTATGGCCTGGGAAAGCAGTGTAAGATGGCCCAAATCCTTGGGTCCCTGCACCCACGGGGGGCACCCGGAAGAAGCTCCTGGCTCCTGGCTTCAGATCAGCACAGCTCTGGCCGTTGCAGCCATCTGGGGAGTGAACCAGCAGACATTTCTCTCTCTCTCTGCCTCTCCTTCTCTATGTAACTCTGACTTTCAAATAAATAAATAAATATTTTTTTAAAAAATTATAGGTTCTCTGTTCTGTTTCATCAATCTATGTGCTGGCTTTTATGCCAGAACCATACTGTTTTAATTACTATAGCTTCATAATATGCTTTGAAATCACGCATTATGATGCTTCCAGTCTGTTTTTTTTTTTTCCCCCTCAGGATTTCTTTGGCTGTTCTGGGTCTTTTATGGTTTCAAATGAATTTTAGGATTGTTATTCTCATTATGTAAAGAATGTAATTGGGATTTTGATAGGAATTACATCAATTCTGTAGATTGCTTTAGGTGGTATAGACATTTTAATGATATCAATTCTTCCAACCCATGAACAAGAATATCTTCCTATTTTTGTGTGCACTTGATGATTTCTTTCATTCATGTTTTATAATTTTCATTGGCAAGATCTATTATTTTATAATACTTTCTATGGTTTATTTCATGCCCTTCACTGCACAATACACACATAGCAAAATGAAAATAAAGGAAGGAAAGAGGAAAGTAGACATTTAGCCTCGTGGTTAAGATGCCCATGTCTCATACTGGAGTCTTGGTTCAATTCCCAGCTCTCACTCCTGACCCCAGCTTCTTGCTATGCAGACCCTAGGAAGCAGTAACGAGGGATGAAGTAATTGGGTTCCTGCCATGTACATGGGAGACTTGGGTTGAATTCCTGGCTCCTGGTTCCAGCCCTGCTCCAGCCACAGCCATCACAGGCATTTAGGGAGGGAACCAGTGAATGGAAATGTTTCTGTGTGTATGTGTGTGTCTGTGTGTCTGTCTGTCCATCCATCCATCTACCCCTCTCTGTCATCTATAAATGTATCTATTTATTACATCTCCCTTCCTCTGAAATGAAAAATAATAATAAAAAGACAGAGGGAAGTGGTTATTCTAGGACAGCATCCTCCCCCGTGAAGTTAGGGGATGTGGGCACTGCTTCTCCAACTTTCTGTGGACAGGGAGCAATTCCTTCACATGACTCCATCACGGGCTGGGTTCCTCCTGCACGTGCCCAACGCACTTGCTGTGCAAGTTCAACAACCTGTGCTGGTTTGTCCCTCGTTCAATGAGAACCAGCCACTGATGGCTCTCCTGGAGGCCTGGGCAGTGGCAACTGCCACTCAGAGGTTCTAGACATTCTCAGTTTCTGCACTTATCTGTACTTGTACGGAGACTAGTTCACTCCCAAAATGCCTGCAACAGTTTGAGGCCAGGCCAAAGCCAGGAGCCAGGAACCAGTCTAGGTCTCCTAGGTGATTAGTAGGAACCCAGCTCCTTGAGTCATAGCCTGATGCCCCCCCTCCGGTGTGTGTGTGTGTGTGTGTGTGTGCACTAGCAGGAAGCTGCAGCCAGGAGCAGAAGCGAGACTCAAGCCAGAACCTCTGATACAGGAAGTGGAGCTTCCAGGTCTTACCCACTACACCAAGTGCCCGTCCCAAGCCAAGGGTTCCCATCCACTTCCACCCAACGCCTGGGCCCGAAACAAGTCCCCAGCTGGAGACAGCACAGCAGCTTCAGTGCCAGTGAGCAGTGGACTCCGTCCCTCCTTGAGCAGCTTTTGCAACTGGCCGGCAGAAACGCTGTCCAGGCCTCTTGGGGATGACGAAACAGCTCAGCTAATTTTTTTTAAAAAAAGTTTATTTAGTCATTTGAAAGTCAGAGTTACAGACAAAGAGAAGGAGAGACAGAAAGAGATATCTTCAATCCACTGGCTCACTCCCCAGATGGCTGCAACAGCCAGGGTTGGGCCAGGTTGAAGCCAGGAGCCTGGAGTTTCTTCCAGGTCTCCCATGTGGGTGGCAGGGGCCCAAGCACTTGAACCATCTTCTTCCATTGCTTTTCCCAGGTCATTAGCAGGGACCTGGGTGAGAAGTGGAGCAGCCGGGACATGAACCAATGATCCACTACACCACAAAGCTGGTCCCAGAAACAATCTTTTAGATTTATTTTATTTATTTGAAAGAGTTACAGAGAGAGAGGTAGAGACAGAGAGAGAGGTCCTCCATCCGCTGGCCCACTCCCTAGATGGCCACAACGGCTGGAGCTGCGCCGATCCAAAGCCAGGTGCCAGGAGCTTCCTCTGGGTCTCCCACATGGGTGCAGGGCCCAAGGACTTGGGCCATCTTCCACTGCTTTCCCGGGCCATAGTAGAGAGCTGGACCGGAAGAGGAGCAGCCGGGACTAGAACCGGCACCCTCATGGGGGATGTCGGCGCTTCGGGCCAGGCTTTAACCCGCTGTGCCACAGTGCCGGCCCTGGAAACAATCTTTTAAAGAACTTAGCACAGGTGCTGGCATTGTGATATAGCAGGTTACGCCACTGCCTGCAACACCAGCATCCCATATGAGCCCCAGTGTCAGTCCTGGCTGCTCCACTTCTTCTTCTTCTTCTTTTTTAAGATTGATTGATTTATTTGAAAGTCAGAGTTCACATAGAGAGAAGGAGAGATCTTCCATCTGCTGGTTCACTCCCCAATTGGCCAGAGCTACACTGATCCAAAGCCAGGAGCCAGGAGCTTCTTCCAGTTCTCCCATGTGGGTGCAGGGACCAGGGACTTGGACCATCTTCTATTGCTTTCCCAGCTATAGCAAAGACCTGGCTCGGAAGTGGAGCAGCTGGGACTAGAACTGGCACCCATGTGGGATGCCAGTGCTGCGGGCGGCAGCTTCACGCACTACGCCATAGCTCCAGCCCCCAGCTGCTCCACTTCTGATTGAGCTCCCTTGTAATGTGCCTGGGAAAGCAGCAGAAGATGGCCTAAGTGCTTGGGTCCATGCATTCCACATCGGAGACCCGGATGGAGTTCCTGATTCCTGGCTTCCGCCTGGCCCATCCCTGACAGTTGTAGCAATTTGGGAAGTAAACCAGTGGATGGAAGATCTCTCTATATAACAGTATGTCTCAAATACACGAATAAATCTTTTTAAAAGAAGAAGAAATGTAGCAGAGGTGCTAGCGATTCTTCTAGAGCTCCTTGCGTGTGGGCGAGAGCTCGCTGCCTGGCACACAGCCTGCAGGTGGGACACAGCCAGCAGATGAAACGCTGGGGGAACGCGCAGCACTTGTGGTGAAAGATACTCAGCCTAGTGTCTCCACGCAAACAGGAATACATCCAGGGGCTGGCGGACACGTTTTGCGTCTTTTTATTGAGATTCAGGAAGGGACAGCACAGGGGCAGGCACGCTCACTGTCCCAGCTTGCCCAGGCCCTCCGCCGCATGGGTGACAGCTTCGGTGACCGTGTGCGACACCTTCTCAGTAACCTCCTTCACCACCTTGTCCCCTGACTCTTGGGCTTTCTTTAGGGCTTCGCCAAGGGCTGTGGGGGGATAAAGAGAGGAACTGTCACTGAGGGATCCCCGGGCATGCAGGCTCGGGGCTCTTCCTGGAGGGACCCCCTGGGGCAGAGCGCAGCAGGGCTCCGGGAAGAATGAATTCCTGGTTGATTTTATCCCCCCAACAACTTGGAGCCTCTGCTCATAGCTGTGTTCGCTGCTTAGATTTTGCTTTCCTGCTGATTTTTATATTGGGTTGTTACATCGGATTATTGTTTATGTTACAAATATTTTCCCTTAGTCTGTCGCTTTTCTATTGGCTTGGCTGATTAGTTTTTTTTTTTTTTTTTTGGTCTACCATGGAAAATTCTGAAATTTTATATTGTAACATTTTCCTTTACGGCCGCTGAATTTTCTGCCCTAGATTAAAAAGATCCTCCTCTCCCTAAGATTCCGCCAAAGTCTGCCATGGTCCTGCTGTGGAATGAATGTGTCCCCCCAAAATCCATACGTTGAAACCCAAATCCCCAGTGTGCTGGGATTAAGAGGTGAGGCAAGGGGGAAGTAATTAGGTTATGAGGGCAGAGCAGGGTTTGGTGCCCTGTTACGGGGACCCCAGGAGCTAGTTTGCTCCTCCCACCGTGTACAGACATGGCTGGAGGCACAGCCTGGGAGCCCAGAGGTGGGCGCTCATGGGTTTCTATGGTTTATAAGCTCCCTGCGTTATAGTTTAACCCATCAGCCTGAATAGGGTACTAACAAATCAACAAATTCATGTGTTAACATTTAGGCCCCTGGTTCCCCTGCAGGCCATGCAGGGTCTTCAAAAAGTTCATGGAAATACGCATTATGAAAAAAAAATGCACGATTTTCGCATTGGTTTTGCCCCAAATTTGATTCCATTTTTCCGTGAACCTGTAGACACACCCTCCTATTTCGGCATAAGGAGTGGGGTAGCTCATGCTTCTTACATGGGTTCTACTCATAACACACGTGTGTACATACGTGTTTATAGAAATAAGGAATGCTACATCTGTAGCACACTGTTCCAGCGCACAGCTACAGTCTTTTGGGACCCACAGAGGGGACGATGAGGATGGCGCCCGGATGTCAACACGACAATTGCATGCCAGCGGGAAGGGGTTGCAACATGCGAGCAGGGCTTGCCCTGGTTGGGCAAAGAAGGGCTGGCCTGGCCCCTAGCTTCCTTCTCCACACTCCCCGCCCCCCGCTTCCCTTGCTGCGCCCCCTATTTCCTCCCTCTGCCCCCCACCCCGTTTCTCCGGCCCAGCCTCAGCCCCAGTACCTTTCTCTCCAGCCTCCTTGGCATGCTCCACCACCTCCTTCACCACCTCCTCCACGGCGTGAACTGAACGGAGAAGACGAGCGCAGGGTGAGGGCGCAGCACGACTCGCCGCTCCACCCCCGCACCGGCTCGCAACAAGGGCCCCCAGCTGGGTCCCTCTGAAGACTCCAGGCAGAGCGAGCCCAATCAGGCCACGGGGCCTCTACGTCCCTCAGCCTGGCACAGCCTGGGACGCCCAGGAGTGGGCCTGCCGCCAGCTGGGGACGCAGAGTCAGGGCCAGGCCTGTGTGCGAGGGCGCCACGCCCCTCTGGACGTGCCTAATCCCGTGCCTCGTCCTGCAAAGCCAAGCCCCGCGAGGCAGCTCCTCCCAGGAGAGGGGGTGCTGCGCGCACGTCCGAATTGTTTCCAGTTTGGGTCCAAACTGAACGATTTCAGAGTCAGAACTGGTTCTGTTGCTCCACCCTCCCCTGCTGGGTTCTCTCAACCGTCAAATGGCAAATCGTGTAAAACCCTGAAGCTGGGCAAAGACAGACTGGCCAACTGCCGGCCCCCACGCCCCCAGCATCTGACTGCACCCCTGCCCCCTCTGGACTGGCCTTCCTCCTGGTCCTCAGCTGTTGCGGTCAATGCTACTCTCCCGGCTCTACCCTGGGCTGCTCTGCCTGTCTCCTGCGCCCCGCCCTGCCCCCGCTCCCTCGGTCCCAGTGGGGCTGGTAGACCAGGGCTCTCCACCTCCACCTGTTTGCTGGAATCTGCCTCCGACAGGCCCAGTCGAGTCTGCTCCCCTGCCCCCCCCTCCCCCGGCCCAGGTGCAAAGGGGAGCCCCAGGATGCTCACCGGCTCCCTCAGTGGCCTTCTCGGTGCGGTGGGCCAGGCCCTCAGCCGCCAGCTTCCCCAGGCCTCCCAGCATTGCGTGGCAGAGGGTGGTTGACAAGTAGGATGCCGGGGACTGCACCAGCCGGCTTTTATAGATGCCTCTGATGCCTGGCCGGGCTCTAGGGCGCCGAGCCCTCGCCGGGGCTGGGCAGGTGAGTCAGTGGAGGCGGCGGCAGGAGGAAGAGCTGGGTGGGGCCGCTCTGGTGCTGTGGGCGGTGGCCATGCCCCTCTGACAGCAGGAGAGCCTGGCACTCGGTGTCCTAGGGACCCTGGGAGGGACAGGGCAGGGACAGGGAGCAGGGCTAAGGCTGGGCAGGAGAGACCAGCTCTGCATAAGCCACTTCCCCAAGGCTGGGGGCTTGAGTGCTCTGATTGGTGACAGTTCTTGGAGGCGCCGGCCATGCCTGCCCCTGCAGTCCAAGATCTCCAAGCCTGGTGACAAGGCCCAAGGCTTCCAGCCTGCTGCTCAGGGTCTCCGGTGTGGCTGAGTCAAGGGTTTGGGAGGGGGTCAGGAACACAAGTGGAGTGGGGCCACTGCCCATCCTGTCCCCTGGCTCTGCAGGGAAGCCTGGCAGCTTCCACAGGGCAGGCGGGAGGCTCGGTGCAGTGCCATGCCCAGGGCAGAGGAGGACACGGGGCACAGTCACTCTGGCTAGCCACTCAGCTGACCCTCACCCACGAGCACATGGCAGGTGGGACTTGGGGAGGCCCTGTGAGCTCAGCGGTGCCCTTCCCCACAGAGGTATGCAGAAGGACACACCGCAGCCCAGCCCCACCTGGAGGTCTCTCACCTGAGCCAGAGCGCCCCAGGAAGCAGCTGTCCTGGCCCCTGATACATCACCTGTTGAGGGGCCGGGCGGCCTCCCTGGTGGCTCAGGGTGGACAGAGACGCCTCAAGCCATGTGCCACGTGCTGCTTCCCTTAGTCACTAGCCCAGCCTGAGCCTCAGTTTCCTCCTCCATGAAATGGGGACAGCCATGCCTTCCCGCTGTGTCACTGACAGCCGCTGGCACCAAGAAGGCACACTCTGGGGAACCTCGTGCACGCAGCCCCCTACCCTGCCTGTGCTAGGCGGGTGGCCCCTGGCAGGGAGCCCTGAACACCCAGCGAGGTGGACCAGGGAGGCGACCTGGCAGCCAGCAGGCTGGAGACTGTGAGGCCCGCTGACCGGGAGCCAGCAGGCGCGTTCCTGCTCCTGCTCACGTGGGCCAGGCCCGGGGCAGGACTCTGAAGCAGGCTCCCACGTCTGTCAGACCTGACCTCCTGGGTGTGGTGGGGCCTGATTAGAGTTTGCCAGATCGCAGCCCTCACGGCCTGGGCCCTATGGAGCTGAGGGAGCCCAGGCCCATGGCTGGGGTGGCCAGTGGTACTGTGGAACATCAGGATCTGTGGCCACAGCCCACTAACGTACCATGGCTGTGTCCCCTCAGGCAGCGGTGGATTGAAGCATAAACAATGTGGAGGAGCTCTCTTTAAGAAAAATAAAACAGGGGCCAGTGTTTGGTGTTACAGGTAAGGCCACTGCCTGCGATGCCGGCATTCCTTATAGACATTCGTTCCAGTCCTAGCTGCTCTATTTCCAATCCAGCTCTCTGCTAATGGCCTGGGAAAAGCAACGGATGATGGCCCAAGACTTGGGCCCCTGTCACCTGCGTGGGAGACCCAGATGGAGCTCCTGGCTTCAGCCTGGCCTGGCACTGGCCATTGTAGGCATTTGAGGAGTGAACCAGTGGCTGGAAGATCTCTCTCTGTCTCTCCCTCTCTCTAACCCTTTCAAATAAACACATGAAAATCTTTAAAAAGAAAAGGAAAAGAACACACTACTACCACTTTTGCGTGCACTGCCACCATACAGGGATAGGCACGAGCCCGTGAACCCAGAAGGGGCTAGGGGAGTGGGGGGCTGTGAAGCTCAAGCAGGTGCAAAAAACCCTTCCCTCCCCTCAATGAGGCCAAATCCCAGATGCTCCAGCCAGGGCACCAGGCCAGGGTTGCAGGAATGGAGAGGCACTTCTAGGGCAGCACTGGCGAGAACAAAGCTTTGGGACCCACGAACACGCCCTGCATCTGTTTCCTCTGGGGTCCTCTGGGCTCCCGTGCCGCAGACAGGTCTGTCTCCAGCAGCCCCAGGATGACTTCCAGACCCCACAGAGCCCTCCTCCCTAGCCCTGGAGCACAGCCGCTGCCACAGGCCCTCGGCAAAGCTGGGCCACTCAGCAGCACTCTGGCCCCAGTGCCCAGCCCAGCGCCAGGCCCAGCACAGCCTCGGGGGACAGCTGCCCTTCCCCTCCCTGTCAGGTTCTGCCCCCTTGCCACGGCCCCCTGCCCACAAGAGTCTGGCTGTCTTCAACACTCTGCCTCTGGGTGAGCTCTGTGACTCTCCTGGTGACACACCCCACCGCCCCGGGTCTCTTGGCCAAGGGTACCTCCAGTCACACGTCCCAAACGCCCAATGGGGAGAAGGCAAGAGACCTGGCCAGGCCAAGCCCCAGGACCAGCCTTGCTCGGGCTCTTGAGCTCTGGGCCAGGCCCAGTCCTGCTTGGTTTCCAGGCCGAGCCAGCTCCCTGTCCCCCCAGCCCAGCCCGAGTGCCCTGGTAGCCCCTCGGAGGACTGGACTTCTAGCCATGGATGGGTTCTGGTCTGAACAGCTGGGCTCAGGCACCTTCAGGGACCATCTTTACCTGTGCAGGTGAATCTGAGAGTGACTCAGCTGAGGCCCACTCTCCACCACCCCAGCTTTGGAAGAGCCCCAGCCCCACGGGACCCTGGTAGAGTGGCCCCTGCCAGCATATCCTGAGTCAGAAGTTCAAGTCCAGCCCCCTTCTTGGGCAGAGAGAATCTGGCTTGGACAGGAGCAGACTCATTCCCCAGGTAGAATTCACCTAACAACACCCAGTTTGGCCAAGGACCAACTGGCTGATTCATCAAGCCAAGGAGAGCCAATTTTTCAAACAGTAATTTGCCAACTTAGTAATTATCAGTTCTTAAAAAAAAAAAAAAAAAACCTGTTTATTTTAAGGAGTTAAATACTTAGGGTGCCTCCTGTCTGGGGTCGGGGCTGGGGTGACGATTCCGCGTGTCATTTTCTCTGCAGCTGTCCCAAAGTCAAGTGCACCTCCTGCTCCTGCTTTCACAGAGGTGAGCTCGCTGCACCCATAGATCTGTACACCCTGACCCCACTGAGCCCTTCAGGCCACAGGACAGCTGTGTCCAGACTCCGGGAGACGGGGCCTGTTCTCCCTTTCACCTCTTGGTGGGGACCAGTCACCTGCGGGAGGGACTTAGAGGGCCCAATGACCCTGGGAAGGGACCGAGGATGGATGGAATCAGGGTGGTTACCTCCCTGGGCCCAGAGGAGGGGCGGGAGAGGTGTCCACAGACCTGGGCAGAGCTGCGGCTGTCGCAGAGGGCCAGCAGACAGGAGCTGCCGCCATTGGCAGAGGAACGGATCCGGCAAGATGGCAGGCTCAGGCACCAATAGCCTCTGCTCTCCAGAAGTTCCTACTGGCTGCCTCCCCCCAGAGCCAGAGGGCAAGGGATCGGGGTGACAGGAGAGCGGGGTGCAGCCTGGCCTCGCTGGACCCGCAGGCCTGGGAGGAGCCGGCAGCAGCTCAAGGCTACATCGTGCCGTCATTGTCCCGTCTCTCCCATCTCAGCACCGTCGGTCGGGGAGAAGGGTTCCCTGGGAAGGCAGTGCCGAGGCCAGCCTTGGAGGCTGATGCTGCAGACACAAGGCTGCTGGAGGCAGCTTCCTGGAGCCGGCTGGGTTCTGAGTGGCAGAGAGACTGCGCAGGGGAGTCCCACACGGTTCTGGAAGAAGGGCAGGCTCCTGAGCAAAAGGACCCTGGGTGGCTCCCAACCCCTCCCCTCCCCAGGAGTCTCCGCTGAGGTCCCCTCTTCCTCAGCGAACCGCAGGCGGCTGGCAGCCTCCGAGGGCTCCGTGATTGACAAGGTGGGTGTCTTCCCTCCAGCTCACTAGTGTGTATGTATTCCTCCCGATGCTCACATCTCACTTAAAGCACAGTGGTCAGCGGCTGGTGTTGTGGTGCAGCTGGTTAAACCACAGCCCATGACTCCAGCAGCCCACAGCAGAGCACTGGTTCAAGTCCCAGCTGCTCCACTCTGACCCAGCTTCACACTAGCACAGATGGTGCTGCCACTCATGTAGGAGACCCAGATGGAGTTCTGGGCTCCTGGCTTAGGCCCCGGCCTGAACCCAGCTGTTGTGGCCATTTGGATAGAACCAGTGGCTATAAGATCTCTGTCTCTCTGTCTCATTGTCTCTCTCTGTCACTTTGCCCTCCAGGTAAATTTTTTTAAAAAAATTGTACAGGGGCCAGTGCTGTGGTGCAGCGGGTTAAAGCCCTGGCCTGAAGTGCCGGCATCCCATATGGGCGACGGTTCAAGACCCAGCTCCTCCACTTCCAATCCAGCTCTCTGTTGTAGCCTGGGAAAGCAGTGGAAGGTGGCCCAAGCCCTTGGGCCCTTGCACACAGACCTAGAAGAAGCTCCTGGCTCCTGGCTTCGGATCAGCACAGCTCTGGCTGTTTGACCATTTGGGGAGTGAACCAGCGGATGGAAGACCTCTCTCTCTGTCTCTGCCTCTCCTCTCTCTGCCTTTCCTTCTCTCTGTGTGAGTAACTCTTTCAAATAAATAAATAAAATCTTTAAAAAACATAAAATAAGTGTTAACCCATGAAACATACATTAAAGGCTGTGAGGAGATGTGTTTTAGTTTTTTGTTTGTTTAAGATTTATTTACCTTAGCTGGCACCGCGGCTCACTAGGCTAATCCTCCACCTTGCGGCGCCGGCACACCGGGTTCTAGTCCCAGTCGGGGCGCCGGATTCTGTCCCGGTTGCCCCTCTTCCAGGCCAGCCCTCTGCTGTGGCCAGGGAGTGCAGTGGAGGATGGCCCAAGTGCTTGGGCCCTGCACCCCATGGGAGACCAGGAGAAGCACCTGGCTCCTGCCATCGGATCAGCACAGTGCACAGGCCGCAGCGCGCCGGCCGTGGTGGCCATTGGAGGGTGAACCAACGGCAAAGGAAGACCTTTCTTTCTGTCTCTCTCTCTCACTGTCCACTCCACTCTGCCTGTCAAAAAAAAAAAAAAAAAAGATTTATTTACC